AAGGGCCATTGTACAAAATGCCACCCTCATTTCCCCCAAGATTCAAGTCAGTAACAAGACAGCGAGTTTAAACTCTTCATCCTATGATAAGCCATCAAGGAAGACAGCATACAGTATTTGACAAAAAACAACCTACCTAGCAGGAATGCAGGATGTCATAAACCTCCACTAGCTCATGACGCTCAAAAGACTTCTGATGAGGCTCTGTCATACATTTTTAAATCATTAATGGTCTAGTGTGCAGTTCAGTTACATACGTACATCTATTAGCCCGGAGTAGTAAACTATACTGATCTATGGCTGAACGCCACATAGTTAAAATATAGCTAAAGGCAAAACCTTTTTTTTTTTTAGTTTTGGATAGAGGGGAGAGGGTTTAGAACCCCTGTTGATTTTTATTACTGTCTGTGTCCCCATTAGGGAGATTCACCCACTCTATTTACATAGTTAGTCTGGTTAGAAAAAAGACACAAGTCCATCTAGTTCAACCAATAAAAGGGAAAAAATATACAATACTATATACACAATCCTATACCCACAGTTGATGGAAAGGAAGACAAAAAATCCCAATAACACATAATCCATTCTGCTCCAACAGGGGTAAGAATTCCTTCCTGATCCCCCAAGAGGCAATCAGATATTACTGGATCAACTTTACCTATAAATATTAGTATCCAGTTATATTATGTACTTTTAGAAATGAATCAAATCTTTTTTAAACCATCTACTGAGCTAGTCAGAACCACCTTTTGAAGGAGTCTATCCCACATTTTCACAGTTCTTACTGTGAAGAAACCTTTCCGCATTTGGAGGTTAAATCTCATTTCCTCCAGACATAAAGAGTGCCCCCTTGTTCTCTGTGATGACCTTAAAGTGAATAACCAACACCAAGTTCACTGTATGGACTACATATGTATTTATAATTGTTGATTAAATCCCCCCTTAATCTGATCTTCTTAAGAGAGAATACATTTAGTTCCTCTAATCTTTCATCATAGCCAAGCTCCTCCATGTCTCTTATCAGTTTTGTTACGCTTCTCTGTACTTTCTCCAGTTCCCCAATATCCTTTTTGTGAATTGGTGCCCAAAACTGAACTGCATATTCCAGATGAGGTCTTACTAATGATTTGTACAGGGAAAAAATAATATCCATTTACAAATTGATTTTTCCAAGCCTCTAAACTATACCTTACCCATTAGTCGTGTGTGGAGAACTGTGTCCAATGGTTTTGCAAAATCCAAGATCCAAGTACATTACTACATCCACAGCCACCCTTTTGTGTAAAGTTTTGCTTGCCTCCTCATAAAAAGAAATCAGATTTGTTTGACAACTTCTGTCTTTCATGAATCCATGCTGTCTGCTACTTAAAAATATTTTTTTCTAGCAAGGACTCATCTATGTGGTCTTTTATTAAACTCTTCAGTGTCTTCCCAACTATAGTATTTAGACTAACAGTTACTTGGTAAAGACTTTGATCCCTTTTTAAATATAGGCACCACATTGGCCTTATGCCAATCCAGTGGTATTATACCATCCATTAAAGAGTACCTAACAATTAGAAACAATGGCTTTGAAATGCCAGAGCTCAATTCTTTTAGGACACCTGGGCATATGCCATCTAATCCAGGTGCTTTATTCACCTTTATTCTTTCTACATATTTCTGGACCATATCAATTTTGAGCCATTGTGGTTCATTTGGAGCTTTGTCAATCTCACCCCATTATGGACCTGAGTTCCCCCATGCTCCTTTGTATACACAGAGCTGAAGAAGGTATTTCATAAATTTGCCTTCTCTTTGTCTCCTGTCACCCACTCTAGATTATTTTGTAAAAGGCCTTAAGAACTGTTATCGCGGTGCTTGATGGCGGGAGCCAGCGTTGACGGTGGAGCAGATTTTTTTTTTTTGTGGGTTGGCAGTGGTGGCGGGCCTCGTGATTGACATTGGATCTACTTCAGGGGACTTTTTTTATTTTTAAATAAAGCACTTGTTTTATTGGGTAGCAGTACCATGTATTGCATACTCATTCACATGGGGAAGTTGGGATCTGGGGGCCACCTTGTTAAAGGAGGCTTCTAGATTCTGCCTGCAGACCATCACAACCGCTGGCCAGGGTTGTGGGAAAGAGGCCTTTGTCCCCATCAACATGGGGGCAAGGTGCTTTAACAGGGAGCCCCCCTGCCCCAAAGCACCCCCCACGTGGAGGGCATGTGGCCCTCATGTGGCCCTCAATTGTGGTGTTAGGTGTTCCCCTCAAAATCCATACCAGACCCCAAGGGCTTGGTATGGATGCGAGTGGGGACCCTATGCCATTTTTCTTTATTTTTATTTATTTTATTCTTAGGCAATGCCAGCAATTCTTTTGACATTCAGCTGTCAGAAGAGAACCCTGCTGACAGCTGAAACATGAATGAATGTTTCACTACTAAAATACCGCATGACTTACTAATAAAACTCATGCAGTATTTTTAGTCACTGAGCAGTATCTTACCGCATACTCAGATGTAGAATTGTCCCTGTTTGAAGTTTGTGATCCAACTTTCGGTAGGTTTGAATGTTTGACCAACAGGGGGATGTTCAGTCCATCACTAATGAGCACTGCTGTGATGGATTATATCTCATCTCATACTGACTTAGAAACTTCCTTTCCTCCCCCATATGACACATCATGCCACCAGACCCATGTATTGCAATCTGGGGCGAAGGTGAGAAGGTCCCATACTTCCCTATACTCAGAAAGAGAGCAAATATTTCTCAGGTGCTCCAATGAAGCAACAGAGCAGTGGGGGAGCATAGCAAAGGTAAGCATCAGCTGGTACTAAACTGATTTACTTTTCAATAGAACCTATCACTTTACCCTAAATGAGTCTAGGAAGCTGCATATAATTGATGGTTTGCTCCTGTGCTTTTGGTTTAACACAAATTATAACATCTGTGATAAATAATCTTGATTAATTAGATTGTATTTGAGTCCCTTTAAAGAGAAATTTGCTATAAGTTCTAATCAATGTTTTTGGAAAAGTTTAACCTACTATCAACATTTAAACCATTGTTATGTCAAATATATTTTTATGCTTTGTTTAAAAAAAAAATTCCTAAACTTGACTAGCAAGTAATTAAACATCTATCTGAGATCCCAAAGGTATGAACCCTTATTGTAGAAAACATATGGAGCTGGAATCTATTTCTCTAATCTACAGAGAACATGGTGTGTGGCTGAAATGTGATATATAAAGTGTTTACTGTGGCCTTCAACTTTATAATGAACAAATCTTGAACATGTCTAGCAAATCTTTGTACCCGTACATACAATGTTAGCATGTGTGCTAAGCGTTAGCCTTTTTCTTAAAGAATATCACTTTTCATTCCTAAAGAGGAACTTCATGTGGGCTGTATTACATTGAAAGTCAGCAGCTACAATTACTGTAACTTCTAACTTTTAGACTAAGTTCACACTAGCTTTGTTAGCAGGCATTAGACAGGCGTTTGGGAAGCGTTTTTAACACTCCTCAAATGCCTATGGAAATTCTACATATGACAGCACACAGTGCTGTTCACAGTGAAGTGTTAGCGTTGCGTCGCGTCACGGCAAAATTGACGCCTCATGTCAAGTCAGGAGGACTTGAAGCCTCCCATTCAAGTCTATATTGAAGCTCCTCAAGCGCAGGCATTTGTGGGGCATTTGCGAGGAGGTTGTGAGGTGTTTGCGGAGCGTTAATACCATTAAACTTCATTATAGGCATTTGTGGTGCGGTTTTAACACTTGGCAAACGCCTATCAAATGCCTCAAAAACACGCATAGGTCATTTGGGGAGCATTTGAGGAGTGTTAAATCACTTCCCAAATGCCTGTCTAATGCCTGTCAAACGCTATAGGGGCAAGAGTTAGAAATGAGTCAAGTGTGAACGAGCCCTTAAGCATCCAAGGCAAACAGCACCACACCAGACCTGCGCCTCCCCTTCATTGTAGACAATCTGGGTGTAGGCACAGGAACCCATATGTACTCATGATCCAAAGACACTATTAATTACAGACCGCACACCAATGTCAACTCCTTCATCCTTCATTATTCAACCATAAATGGCATAACAACTTCCCCACACAGGTGTTTCACAGTAATAGGCTTAATTGCATGGATATTTGGTTGTCTATTGGTTGTCCAGGCTGAACTACTGGTGGAAGCTTGCACAGTACGTTCTAATTTTTTGTTTTTGTATGATAAAATCTACCTGGTCTTTCCCCCTGAAATTGCAGCCCAGTAAACTGTTAGCATACAATGTCTCAAGTCTGTACAGTATTGCTTGATTTTTTTAAATAATGCACTCTAATTTTGATTTCTTGATTAAAACCTGCCTGGTGTCTCCCTCTAAAACTGGTCCTACAAAAGCTGCCTGAAAAGTGTGCATCAAGTCTGTACATTTTTTTGTGAATTAATACACTCTAATCATGATTTTTTTGTTTAAACCTGCCTTTTCTTTTTATGTTGGTTGAACTGGATGCATTTCTGTGCTGTTTCAACCTAACTAAAAACCTATATACTGTATAAAACAAGATTAAATGGGGTGTACTGCACATTAGGGTGATTTTGGGTGAATTTTGTTGTATGTTTGTTTTTGCTGTAGCAGAGCACAGATCTGTGAACCAGCCACAAAAAATTTCACCAACTCCACATAGCTAGTTAGTACAGTGGGATTATCAGAGAAGGAAAAGGGTACAGGAGTAGCACTAGAAATCTGCATGTGAAAAATAAACAGTGTCTGCTATGTGCCCTAGAGAGAGAGAGGAAAAAAAAGGCACCATTAGGAGTTGATAAAAATGACTGATATGCATGTGTGAGATGGGGAAACAGCTCTCATTGTTTGAACACTGTTTGTGTGGAAGTAAATTAATGTTTTGACTGACATTCTGCGGTTTAGCCACAAGATGTCACTGTTTTTCTAACACAGGCTCAGACTGCATAGATAGGTGGGGTTTGCACTCAGAGTTGGAGTTTAGTAAACAGGAAGAGGAGACTGCAGCCATGTTTTGGACAATGCTGAATGAAGGGACCATGTGAGCTGAGAATCCGATGACATCCAGGTGTGAATGTGTCCCTCAGTAACCAGAGCTGCAGCTGAGTGAAGCTGATGAGATTGCTGCCAGGAAGCTGATGAGATTGCTGCCAGGAAGCTGATGAGATTGCTGCCTGGAAGGCTGATGAGAGCAGAGGAACTAAGCAACATATACAGCGAGACTGCATGCTTGTTGGAGAGACATTTGTTCTGTTCAGAGTCACCAGCGGATGAAAAGCAGACCCGGATCGGTAAGATCGTGCACGCACCTCATTTCAGTGTTGGCGCCTTGAGACTGAGTCCAGGCCTATAGTTAGTTAGGGTCTCTGTTTGTGTCAGGCCACAAGTGTTGTTACTGTTTATTGGAAGGGCTCCACAACTTAAAGTGACATTTCACATTGGAGAGCTGATAAAATCCTACAAACTCAAGCCAGACTGGCGTTTTGCTCAGAAGGGATACTCAGGCACATGCTACAGGACCAGTTATGGGAGAGGGAATACTGTAGATTTGTGTAAGATTGTAAGCTGTTGTGCTGCACCGCAGGCTAGCCCATACCATACACCCATACACTGATTCCTGCTCTTTTAGGGTAATAACAGGTAAGGTGTGGCAGCTTATTTGTACCCGCCAGTAGGTAAATTACTTCACTTTCTACCTTCATCCATCAGAAGGTGCCCTGCTGTGCAGCACAAGGGTCTCAGCCTTTTGGCTGGGTGTATGTAAATTTATTGTATGTTTCCAGCATTTGTGGTTGTGTTTATTTGCCACATCTAAGTAAAATTTTGTTGTGGCAAAAGCTGGTGTTGGGGTTGCTTTCCTCGTTCGTGACTTCACTGTATCCTGGGGAGCCCACCCCGGTACACGGCTTACACATGCCTGAAGGAGAGGAGGAAGGAAAGAGTGCCTGGGAGAATTAAAAAAAGAGATGGTTTGTCAGCCACCTTGCAAATTCTTGTTGCTTTCACCACAGGCTGGCTGAAAAAAATTACTCAGATCCCAAAGCCTCTCCTGCATAGGAACAAGTGGTGTATAGGCCCAGGACTTTCTCTCTTGTTAAGAGAGTAACCAGGTTGTTTTGTTGTCCCTATACATGTATGCTTTACCAAGGCAGGAACATATGTACAGTGTATAACAGCCACAAACACAACATCCAATCTATGACAGCCCAGAGTATAATCCAGCATATGTCTGCCCATTTGCAAAGGAGGATTCGAGGAGGGGCAGGCAGCTTATGGTGACCCAATGCAATCATACACTTGATTTTGGCTGTTGCCTGCTTTTCCCGTTGACTGTATAATTTTCCCCCTACTTTTTATGTTGCACTGTGGAAGGGCAGGCAGCCTGTTTTACTCTTCCCATACTCTTCTCCTTAATGCCAGAACTATATACTTCCTTCTCGCCGCCACCACCCCAACCCTCCTCCTTCTATGATGGAATTAACAGAAGAAGAGGAGGCAAAGTGGCATATTAGCAGTCCTTCAAAATAAAAGGCTGCTTTGTGCCCTTGGGGAGGAAGAGGAGGAAAGGGTGCATTAGCAGTTTTTTAAATTAAATGGCTGCTATGCACCCATGATGAGGAGAGGGAGACAAAGCGCTTATTAGTAGCACTTTAAAAGAAAGTGGCTGCTTTGAGCCCTCGAGAAGGAGGCAAAGGGAAATGGTGCATTAGCCACTCTAAAAAGTGGCTTCTACAGCATGTGCCCTTCGGGAGGAGTATATGGTGCATACACAGCACTCTAAAAGAAAGTGGCTGCTATGAGAGATGAAAAGGAGATGTCTTTTGTTACTGAATTACTTAACAGAGCTGCTTCTCCCATTAAGCTCTCTGGTGCAGAGTTATGTGTTTCTGTTAGAAATTCTGTATATAGCCCTACAGAACAGACAGAGTACAGTCCATATGGGCTTTTCTGTTTCACTGCAACAAGGAAACAGGAATATTTATTCATCAAAAAGACAGCATATACCATAGATGCAGCTACAAACTTATAAACACTGCCATCTACTGGTTAAATAATATATCTCTACTGAATACTGATGTAGTTATTGCACAAAATACATTCCAACAGTTTCCTCATGCATATAGTACCCAAATAGCTTTTATTTTACCATGTTTGATATGCTGCAGGCAGAAGTTGCATACCACAACAATGCTATCAACAGCAGATACCTTTTAAAGAAGGCGCACACTTCAGATTTCTATTTACTAACTATTCAAGTGTTTGCTTGCTGTTCTGACACTGGACTATTTATCCCAAATACATAGCTGAAATCTGTTTTGGATATTTTGGGATTATTTGGGTATAATTTTGTGCACTCTGTTTTGACATTTTGTTAAACTTTTAAAGCTTCATGCACACAGCCATGAGTGGGCTGTACAGCATACATCTGTGCCCAGGAGTGACAGGTTGATCATACAGCTGCCTGTACAAATCAATGACAGGATGTCTGAAGCCGCATCTGTATGAGTCTCTATGCACAAATCCCTTGTTTACATGTGTAGCAAAACTTACGCACTGCCCAAGCACAGAGGATCTGAGTTTGTTGCAGTGCGTAAATGCCTACCTGTCACTCCTGGGCTGAGAAGTACACCCAAAATGTATGTTGTACAGTCCTCTTGTGGTCTTGTGCAACAGTCTCAAGACCAGGGGTGGACTGACAAGTCATGGGGCCCCCGAGCAATAAGGGATCATGGGGCCCCTGTGTCCTTGCCCAAACTCAAAAAGGCTATGAAAAAGGTACCAGGGGCATCTCATGGGGCCCCCTACTGACCCCGGGCCCTCGGGCAGTGCCCGGGTTTCCAAATGGTCAGTCCGCCCCTGCTCAAGACAATGCACTGTTAAACAAAAGTTAAAAACTATATTATGAAACTGTTTTTCTTCTGGATTTAGACTTCTACTTCCACTGTTCAATTCAGTCCTATTACCACTGGGTAAAATATCAGATGTCACAGACAAGTATTTAAAAAAAGCCATTTAATCAAGTTGTAATTAATCAGACTGGGGTGCTGCTGCTGTGTTTTTAATCAAGCAATAATGTCAGCATTAAAAAATCAATTAGGCTAAGTTGATATTAGCCCTGCCCCAGTTTGATTCCCTAATCTATCTATCTATCTATTTTTCTTCTTGTTTTCATCCTTTGTTGCATTTGTTCTGCAGTTGATTCTTCTCCACGTGCACGTACTCCAACAATGGCTGCATGACATTTTTCTTGGGGAATTTCCTGACAATGGAAGACAAAGAAAGCCAAATGACAATAGGGGACCACGTCTTAATAATGTGTGTTGAAACAGCTATTTGTATTCTCCATCAGAAGCCTTGGTGAAAGGGAGCTCAACTGTCACCCTATAAACAGGAATTACCCGAAAATTAATCTTTTTGGTGGGATGACCAGGAGTTTTCTTTATTAAAAACTGTAAAATATTCAGAATTATGTTAGAAATTACATTAACATTTTAAAGATTATATATGATTTTAGTGATTGAGGTTACATATATTTTTATGTGGTTTTCCAGTTAATTAAAAAGTGGACCTCTTTGACCTGGAGCAACATGTAAGTGTTCTTGCTGAAATGCTGAACTTTGAAATGAGTTGAGTGCTTGCTGGGACAACTAAGGGATCCTACCAGGATAGAAATGTGGTAGCCACCATTACTAACTAGCTTTTGAAGTTGCAAGCTCTGAAAATTCATAATCTCTCTCCAGTTGTAACTGACCTTGAACAAGTTTACTTCACTTTTATTGGTTGCAGTTTTCCAAGCCAATGACTTACAAAATGGTGAATCAATGATGAGGCTTTTTCCTCCAAAATTAAGTCAACAGCATCAGCTCCCAGATTTCAATAGGGACAAGTATCATCTATGTTTCTCATGTAGAACCAAAACAATGAAAGCCAAATGGCATTGCTCAGTTATTCCAATAAATTTAGAATCAATGCAGTATATCTAAATTGGTGGATTTGATATGGTAAGAAAATGTAAACTAGAGCATTATGTGAATGGATACTACATAGCAAAGGGAGTATGGACAAAGTAAAATATATAAAAAAAGCATGCGGGCAAGTTTTTTGCAGTATGCAATTCAAGTATTATACGTTATATTAACATAAGTAAAAACTGTTTTTAGAGTAAGCTATCTTCTCTTCTTATTACACTAGACGAGAAATGTTGTTGAGATGGAAGCTATCAAACCCGCTCACAGTCTCTGGTTGGAAGGCAGCAATCAATGGTTCGCTTCCTCTATATAAGCTTACGTTTATACAGTGAGGGAAATAAGTATTTGATCTCCTGCTGATTTTGAATGTTTGCCCACTCACAAAGAAATGATCAGTCTAAAAATCAAATGGTAGGTGTATTGTAACACTGAGAGACAGAATAGCAACAACAAATTCAAAAGAAATGCATGTCCCTTTGATGCGGTGCAGTTGTCCTGTCCCCTTAGCAGAAAAACACCCACAAAGCAGAATGTTTCCACTACCATGTTTGACAGTTGGGATGGTGTTCTTGGGGACATAGGCAGCATTCCTCCTCCTCCAAACACGGCGAGTTGAGTTGATGCCAAAGAGCTCATCTGAACACAACACTTTCAACCAATCCTCCTCTGCATCATTCAGATGTTCAGTGGCAAACTTAAGATGGGCTTCACATGTGCTTTCTTGAGCAGAGAGACCTTGTGGGTACTGGAGGATTCAATCCTTGTTGGCGTAGTGTGTTACCAATTGTTTTCTTGGTGACTGTGGTCCCAGCTGCCTGGAGATCATTGACAAGATCCTCACGTATTGTTCTGGGATGATTCCTCACTGTTCTCATGATCATTGACACTCCACAAGGTGAGATCTTGCATGGTGCACCAGACCTAGGGAGACTGACAGTTGTTTTGTGTTTCTTCCATTTGCGAATGATTGCACCAACTGTTGTCACCTTCTCACCAATCTGCTTGGTGATAGTTTGGTAGCCCAGTCCAGCCTTGTGTAGGTCTACAATCTTGTCTTTGGCATCCTTGGACAGCTCTTTGGTCTTTGCCATGGTGGAGAGTTTGGAATCTGATTGTTTGATTGCTCCTGTGGACAGGTGTCTTTTATACAGGTACCAAAAGGAGATTAGCAGCACTCCCTTTAAGAGACTGCTTCTAATCTCAGCTTGTTACCTGTACGAAAGACACCTGGTAGCCAGAAATCCTGCTGAATGATAGGGGATCAAATACTTATTTCCCTCATGAACATGCAAATCAGTGCATAATTAGATAGACATGCATTTATTTTGAATTTTTTGCTGCTATTCTGTTTCTCAGTGTTACAATACACC